CATTCGAAAACACTTCCTCGCCAAATGTTTGGTTTTGTTTGTGAACCGTGATCTAACTTCTTTTCTCCTGACTGAACCACAACTTCTACCCGTGTTTCATCCATTTTTATGGATCCAAGAATTGCTTGGTATCCCCCTGAACATCTCGGATTTGCCCATGAGTTATGGACGCGAATTTGGGAGGCTCAAGTTGATAACACACAGGATAACATGGAGAGACCTACTTCGACAACGACGACAGCGATGTCCGACCAGAGACCACAAGAATATATTCCTCTAGACGGACAGGCGACCGACGCGGAGACCTTACGTAGTAAACAATTGTTGCTGCAGAAGAGAAAGAGAAGTGAGAATCGTGCTTGTACATACGGTTTGAACTTTTCTTCAAATACGGATATTTTAAAGAATGGAGGCCTAACGCCTTGGAGGTGTCCCAGCAAAGCATATGGACGGGGAATAGTTGGGTAAGCACTTTCTTGTGAAATGTGGTTGAAAACTGAAAACAAAAGTTTGGTTCAAGTAGATCGTTAATTTAGAGAATTCATGAAACGATGGTTCTTAGTCGAGTCAGCATATTCGTTTTTCTGTCATTATTTGTGACACAACCACAAAGTTATGTTTAAAAAAAAAAATAATTGAAAGTTATCAAGATCATTTAGAATGTTTCTTCGAAATTTAACTACTACTATAATATAACTTATATAGTATTATAATGGGCATTAAAAATGTTTTGTAATATTAAAAAGATAGTCTGTTCTGCAATTGTTATGCTTATATTGAAAAATTAACACTACTGTTAGTGTTAACAGTGACAGTGCATACATAGAACAGTACAGTTGTTATAATCAGTAGCAATAGCTGGTTTGTTTGTAACTGTAAACTATTAGTCCAGAATTATCTGGAAATTGCTTGGATTTGCCACTTTTCCCCCAGCATAAAAGTCAGATATATGGGTAGAGACTATGTGAAGACTTCACGCTCCTCTCTAGGACCACTTGTATACTAAAACTATTAAAAGAATCTATCTTCAGAATGACGGTCCCAAATTATCGAGGCCGAAAATATACCCTAACAGAGCCTCATTCACGTGTCGATTGCGCACTTTCGGGGACTATACCGCCATCCCCTATTGCGAACTTCCGGGGACTATAACTATACTGCCACCGCTGAGAGAAGTTTGCAATCAACACGTGACTGAGGCTCTGTTTGGGTATATTTTGGGACCGTTATTCAGAAGATAGCCAAAGAATCTTTTTGAGCCAGTGACACATCAGGGAAATGATGCTAAAAAATTAAATTTTTACAAAACAATCAGCCTTTGATGGGTGTTGTGGTCAGCAACACGCTGGCCACCTTTGCTTCCCAGGACTTTACTTGGTACCCATTTTATCCTAGATTGACCTGGCGAAAGGTCAATTTTGGGAGAGGGGGGGGGGCGGTAGAATCTGACTCATGTGAATTTGAACCCAAGACCTTTTGGCTGGCAAGGGGGGGGGGGGCTGGGGGGGGCGTCTGCAACTCATGTGAACTCGGTTTTGAACCCCCAAACACGAACTCCTTTTGGCTGACCTGACAGTTCCAATTTAAGGGGTGGGTGTGGCTGTTGGGGGGGGGGGGTCTAGGGCTGTAATAAAGGCGAGCAACCTCTATTGGAAATGTCTCCGTTGACGCTGTCGTACGCAGGGTAAGCTTTATAAATCAGTACAAATTACTCTAAAACACAACCCACTTACTAAGTTAAATTGCAGATATTCTTCACGTTGACTAGCTGTAAACTCCAGTGGAAAGTTCTGGTTGTTTGTCCACCTCTGGACTTTAGTCTTGTTTCTAGAACCTGTGTGTTGGTGCACATCCGCTTTACAGATCTGACTTAATTTTAGGCAGATTGTTGGTTCCTTACCTCTCAGGCTGGTGCATTGCCACTTCTAAGAAAACCCTTATTTAGTTGACTCTTAAGACATGCTTGTTAGCAAGGCAGTGGTCTATTCTAGTGTTTTCCATAATGGAACCCCGGAACACACACAGGGACAATTGCAGAGGAAATGTTATTGCATTAAGCACTCGTCCCCAGTGGGTACCAAATTTTTTGTAGACTTTTACAAGATTAAGGAACCAACTCCAAATCCACATTGTGTTGCCTGTCAGGACATACCTGGTAGCTTGCAGTGGTAATATTCTTTCCATTCGCTATTTCTGTACCCATGTTGAAATTTTAAAGTGTTTCAATATGTGTAAGTTTAATTCATTACACTTATCATTGCTGCTTCAGTTCTCAAAAAGACATAAGAAGTTTTGCAGTTCTCATTGTGTTAAAAGAATGATTCTTGCATCTTATAATTCATGTGTATGTGGTTTTGTTGTTTAAAAAAAATTAATCAAGGAATAATTTATGCATCAATAATAAGTAGCAGCTGTACTAGGACAAGGAAATGTATCTTGAAAACTGATGTTATTGTAGGCAAGACCGGGCCCTTAGCTTTGTTTGGCAGCGGGTCTAGGGGAAAGGCTGCAACAGGCCGACACACACAGCTTGTGCTAGGGACTCCCCTTCCCCTCGTTTACAGAAGGAATTATGAAAATGGTATCCTCAATGGTGGGAGAGCAAACAGTAGAGATGGTATTCCAACAGTATTTTTTAAAGCCAATAGTCAACTAAATTACTACATTAATTATTGAGTCTGCAATTCGTTCAGGATATTGCCTATGACAAATTGCCTAAAAGAAACTGAAGGCTATCAAGCTTCTGAAGAATTCTAGATCTTTAATATTCTAGAACCTATAATAAAGTGCAATTTTTGTTCACCAAAAACTTAATATGTATCCTAAAAATAAGCAAAAACTAAAGGGATGTTTTTGTCACCTGTTATTCTGACTACGAGTACACTGGAGTTTGAAGACAACAGTAGCTGCTGTAGGTAGTGTAATTCCTCAAGTTCACTCTCAGCAGTGCCATGATCAGGACTTAGCTGGTGACATTAGTGATTGGTTCCCCAGGCCGACATATCTTTTCTTTCTTTTGCATTCACCAGCTGTAAACTCTGGTGGAAAGTTCTGGTTGTTCGTCCACTTCTAGACGGCAGTCCTCTTCCAGTATCTGAGTGTTGCATGTGCATCTGTTTGACAGATCTGGCATTTGTGTGTACAGGCTGTTGGTTCCTTGCCTCTCAGGCAGATGCACTTCGAAGGAAGCTCCCAATTAGTCGACTCTTACGACATGCTTTTGGGTAGGCAGTAGGTCTATTCCTTTTTTCCCTATAATAGGGCCCCAGAACCCACACAGGGGACCTACATATAAATTCAGATACATCCTTATCATGTGACCTGCCAGTAAGAGTATACCTTCGTGTTTCATATCCTACAGGGGCACGAATCAGGTTTGTGATCTTGTCTCTTTGTCTTCCCCTTTCTCTTTTTGCATCTGTCTTTCAAGTTGAAATGAAATTCCCAAGTCCACGTCTTCTCACAAGTAAAAAAACACTCAGATGCAAGATAAATAAAACACGTGATTGGAGGTCATAACAGTTAGGCCTAACTAGGTCAAGAAAGAAAGGGAACAGACAAGGACATTACATACAGATACAACAGGAAGGAAGCATTTTCATAGCATGCAGACATTTCTGGGAGTCAAATAAGTTAAAGGTACCACAACAGAAAGAAAAAAAAACTATCTTTACCTCCACTTTTTTAGTGTGGGGGGGGTGGGGGCGTGTTTAAACTTGAGGATTTAGGGCCAAGTGTCTAGTGCAGTTGCCAGGAACTGCAGATTATGGAAACTTCCAGACTCCGAACCCTGGTCTCCCACAAGAAAGTGTTTCAGCCACCCACACCATTGCTGGTTGTAATGTAATTAAATTTACCAGAAACTAATTGCAAGTGCAGTATTTATCTGTTGCAAGGTTATTGTGAAATAACCTGGTTACCTTTTAGAACTTGCGGTTTCGTTTTGATTGTATGTGTTTCTGCTTATTGATCAGCCAAATGGGTTTTTATTTATCCCATGTGAATTCAGTTGGTTTCAGTTTACGAAAAAAAAAAACTTAATTGGAAACGGACAGTTACACCCAGTTGTGTGGTGTTTGGGCACAAGAGGGCACAGCCATGCTGTTATTTTTATGCCTTTTAATAAAATTCATTCTCTTCTTTGTGCTTACTGGCTGTGAAACTCTAATGGAAAGTTCTGATTGTTCGTCCACTTCTGGATTCTAGTTCTTGTTTCAGAACTTGAGTTTAGCGAGTACATCCGTTTTACAGATCTGGCTTATTTTTATTTGTAAGCAGAATCTTGGTTCCTTGCCTTACAGGCATGTGCACTCTGACTTCGAAGGAAACATTAATTGACTGTTAGGACACGCTTGTAGGGGTAGGGTGGGTCTGCCCTCTCCCACTTTCATGTGCCATGGAACCCACACGGCATATAAATATTAAATATTGTTTTTAAGTTTGCACTATTTAGCATGGGAGAAGAAAGAATATTCTTTTTTATATTCAACCAAGTATTTAGGCCTAGGGTGCCTATTCTAGTATTCCGCTGGATATCTCCTTGATGGATGTGCTACAGTGAAGTCCTGCATTCTATAACTGGCACACTTGGCACCGACACAGCATCATGTAATACAGTCGCTACCTTTACAAGCCAACAATAACGCTTGTGACAGGCCACATAAACTTTAATGGCATTAAAGTTACACGTCACAAGATGATGATGATTATTCAATAAAACATGTACGATAATAAATCTCCATTATCTATTCTGATGATATAAAAGATTACAGCAGCTTTTCTCAATGGGCTCCTGCCATTAAAATAAGTAAATAGACATTGAACTGTCTCCCGCAAACAACGGTAAATCAAAACCTCACAAAGAGAAAACGTTTCTATAATATCCTCATACAGAGAGCCAACACAGTTTCCGCTAACCCGCGGAAACACGTCCGACTTGGACAATGGAAATATCTCAACTGCCGAATCCTTTGTGTTCTGCAGGAGCCTTTGTGTTAATCGCCCAGCATTCAATTAGCTGGTATCCCAGGTAACAGACCCGACCGGTGGCCGCTGTGTGAACCTTTCACCTGCGCTATGACCACTAGAAGAAACTAGAAGAAACTTTAACTCTTGGACTATAAGATTACAACAGCTTATCCCCCCCTCTCACAAACTGAAAATCTATGTTTTCAGTTGCATAATTTTAACTCTGTTGTAGTCATCTAGACAACTTATATTCGAATATACCTAGTGAAATCCACATGTAGTTAAGTGAGAATGCATGTAAACGAAATGATGATAACTTTTGTTATAATAAGAATGCATGTAAATAAAATGATGATAACTTTTAGTTATAAGACATGAAATAACAACAAGAAATACAATATAATATCATAACTGGTTCACTAATAACTCATAAGCTAAATCCACATATCATAATTACTGTCAATCCCAATAAATGGAATCATCTGTCCAAAACACT